TTCCTAAATTTATCATCTGCGCGTCTAAAAGTTTCCCAGCGTGTACATCTGAAACCCTAAATTGCTTTAAGGTTGCAAAAATTCCCATCACAGAAATCCGAAGAGTAATTGTTTTTAGCATCAAACAGTTTCTGTTATTTTTCATCATGATGAGCACAGTCCAACTCTGAAAATTTACAGTGACTACAACTGATACTCCTTATTTATTATCTTCCTTACAAACTATAATGCGTCAAAGAATAAGGAATGCTGTTTCATTAGCCGAAGGACGTTCAGTGGACTGTTAGAGTGAAGTGTCAGACTTTTTTACGGAAATAGGAACTTACCTTGTAATACATGGTGTCTTGTGCGAACTTCCAGGTAGATTAAGGTTAGGGTTATGGCAAAGGAGTTCGAAACCACCCGCACTACAAGTAGGGTTTCCTTATATCGTGTCTCATCACGGATTCTACTGACATCTGTTCGTTCTTTTTGGGTTCTTTGAACACTCTTTCGCATAGCTCTACGATCGTTTCAACTTAAAGTACCTAACCTTTTCGATTTGCCGTCATTTAGTTGGCCGGGTTACCACTGCGTTTTTCGACAGACCAATAAACACACACATTCATGCCCGGACTTGTCTGTCGTCCATAGTGTGACATGTCCTTGACAACGTCTGTTTACGTCTTTTTTGTTGTTCAAAAAGGTACTTTCTCCTGAAAACATTCTCAATTTGTCTGTTTTTGTTGCCTTTTTTCGGGGTTACCATTTCAAGTCAGATCAACATTTGGATAGTTTTATGCTTGACCTTATTTGCATCTCAGAGCCTTCCTCGGCTCCATCGGACGCTCAGTTCGGAGACTTTATTTTTGTCTCCGGCTAGGCTGCTCTGCCTCGACTACTTCTTTTATGAAAATTGACCTTTAGGACTCTGTACTATTCAGTTATCGAAAGACCCCTCTTTGGTTATTCATATTCACTCAGAGTACTCCCGCAGTTTCTTGTAACTTATCCCCAGACTCCTTTTTGGTCTTTGAGGAACTTTAGCCTTTGTTAGCTGGCCACAACAAGTCTGCATGTTTTACCGACTGCCTAGAAATAGGAAACCCAAATCAATTGATCATCGGGTATTTGAGCTTAAAAATACACCTGTTGATTATAATCGGGAAGTGGCGCCTCTGAATGCAGAGAGAAAAATATTTTCCAATTCCCTTTCAAACGGCGACCTTGATCCCTTGCAAGCGGTCGCCTTACAACTATCAGGCATTAAAGTTGCAAAAATTCCCGTCAGAGAATTCAGAGGAGCAGTTGGCGAACATATGTAAGCTTTGGACTGGAAAAGCGGCATCCCAAGCAGTATAATTCGGTAGAAGAAGTACTTTTGGAAACGGTGGTTTATTGGGTGAATT